TTCCATGTTCATCATCGTACCTGTGAAGGCGTCTGATAGAAGTCCAGCAGCCGAACAACGTGCTCATGTTGAACCTTTCGGTCTTGTCAGACGATGAAAAGACGGACCAAGCAAACAGTACTTGTTGCCAGATCTCCATGTGATTGCGGTCATCTTCAACGCTGACAACAAATACCCAACAGCATCAAAACAAGACAAACATCACATCGGAATTCTGACCTCGATCCCACATCTATCTGCTTGATCGCTACTCGTTCCCCACTTCGCTTGTCCACGCCTTCAAACACCTGAAAATCATCACATTCCTACAGCTCTGAAAGAGAAAACCCTCCCTGCTCTCACCTTTCCATTGTTGCCCTGATCTATCACACGACCAATTGTATACACATCCTGCATTCCAGGTCACATCGAACTTTTGCAGTTCAACCCTCTTGTGTACCTCAAGCTTCGCATGCTGAACAATCTGCAGAGAAACGAATCAGCAGGAGGAGGAAACAAATCGACACTGTCATCAATCATCCTCTTTCTACATCTCCTTCATTGTCGTCCATCATCATCATCATCAGCAGCAGCAGCAGCAGCAGCAGCAGAAGAAGAAGAAGAAAAAGAAGGAGAAGAAGAAGAAGAAGAATCCGTATCTCCTCCATCATCTCAAACTCAAGCAGTACAACTGTAACTACCATCATCATCATTTCCACCATCTTCTGATGGTGATGGTGATGGTGATGGTGATCATCATCTCCCATCTCCATCATCATCATCTCAATCATCATCGCCATCATCATCATCATTAGCAGCAGCAGCAGCAGTACAACCTTCATCTTGCTGAGCTGCTCAACTTTCTGACCCGGAAACTGACATTTCTCTCCGTCGTTTTGTGCAGGAGATGTTGGAGACTCGATGTCTTGCAGGTTTGCAGGATCATTCGATGTGTTCAGATGTCCTGCTGCACTCAGAAAACTTGAAACTTCCCCAAACTGTGGAGCTTTTGGTTTTGCTGGCCGTGAATCGTGTCAGTGGGAGAAATTTCGACTTGCTCCTCCGCACAAACCGTTGGCGATGGCGTTTCTTATCGCGTCCCTCCAGCGGTTGAAGTCTGACTCTGTGTCTGCTCTGACCTGCATGCACACATGTGACGACGCTGTAATCGAACATACAATGTGAAACATAACGAGAGGTGAAGGAATGGAATGTTACAAGTAACAAGAGATCAGACGTTTATCGTTATCATTGTGTGGTTGATCAGGATCAGTGATCTTCAAACTCACCACCCATGTTGTGCTCGGACTGCATATCGCCATGCAGAATCGCTTCCCGTGCTTCTTCTCTGGGAGCGAGTCCAAAGATTTGACCTGAGAGAATTCCCGAGTGTGAGGGAAAACGTTTCAAAGAGGAGGAGGAGGAGGAGGAGGAGGAGGAGGAGGAGGAGGAGGAGGAGGAAGATAGCGGTCAAATACCTGGCTGAGAGGGATGGATCCCTTGATTGTGCATGACCTGGATGCAAGCATGTAGCTGAGCACATCGACAAAGAAGGGGAAGAAACGTTTTCTCTGCCCACTTACTTCCCAGACTCGTAGTACACGATGTGCTTGGTTGTGAGAACAAAGAGCCTCTCCTTCCATCCTGCATCGCAACTCTGTCACAGGATGATAGAAATCCGTCGTTCAATCATTAAAGGAGCAGCACACGGAGGGGATTTTCTCACCAGAGAACAAACCTCCTCGCTTGAGCAGTACACCTTCCAGAAGGTCTTCCTCCTCCTCCCTGCCATGTGTACCCTCAGCTAGGAATCTCCCCCTCCTACAGCATACCTGCAAGAGTTCCTCGAACTTTCCATGCCTTCCTCGGCCCTTCACCTTGCTGCCATCGCGCCATCTGCGGCGTCGTCCTCGACCACGACCACCATTGCGGCGTTTCCTACCAAACGAACAGTCCAGTCACTTGCAAGGCCCGGCGAGATGTCCGGTCCGTCACTGGGCAGCACCGGGCCTCTGAGTCACGGTGATACTCCGCCCGCCGGGGCCCGGGCGGGGGTCCGACTGTGGAGTCACTCCTCAAACGCAAGTTACCAAGACCGCAATACCGAGTCTTTACTCAAACGTACTAGTCTTCTGACAGTGGACCGGTACCGCGCATCTGCCGCAATTTGTTTCGAGAAAGGCGAAGTCTTCCGACGCCTTCACTTGCTACCCGACGCTGCTCCTCTTCGCGCTCCGAGTGCCCTGCGGGACTCACCGTGCCATTCTGAGGAACAGGTAAGGGCTCGTGCCTCTCTGTTGTCCTCCCACGGGTGTTTCGGCCAGTAGGATGAGGGGTCCTGCCTCCTCAAGCACGTGACAGTGAGCTCTCCTATGAAGGATTCTGTCCGGATCTGACTTAGAGCCTCCTTGACCGTACCGTGATGTTGCTTTCGCATGTAGAGGTCGCACATGAAGAGCACAAGTATACAAGAGCATGAGAGGCGATTCTGAAATCCATCAAAAGACTCTACCCCAACTCCTTCCCTTCGCCTACAGAAGGACTCCGTATATCCCGGATCGTCCGCCGCGATGGCCCAGTCCTTCAGGTGCTGATGAGGGGGGGAGGAAAGATGGGTCGAAAGAAGAAGGGATGAAGGAGAGAAAGGCAGTGGAGGAGGAGGGAGGAGGGAGGAGGGAGGAGGGAGGAGGGAGGAGGGAGGAGGGAGGGGGGAGAAGGGAGGGGAGAGGAGGAGTGAATTTTGACTGGAGATTATCACACGGATAGGGTCGTTTTCTGTGCTCAACACACTTTTTCTGATTGTACTTTAATGTTTTAAGTTCTTCTGCATGGAAAAAACCATAATGGTTCTCCAACGGCTGCGCAATACACCCTGAGCTGAGCGGAGAAGGAGATGGGTCCTCGCTCCCTTCGGGTGCAAGGGAGCTAGAAGGCTAGTCGTGAGCTCTCCTGTAAGAGGGCAGCTACAAGGATGACATCCTTGTTGAAATGCCTTCCATCTTTCTCTGTCAAGAAGCCCAAGGTTTCTTCTTGTCTTGGCTGATCCCTTGCCTTCTATCACGCTGCCTGATCAACTTGTGCTGGCAGTCCAAGGGCCGTCCACGACTGCACATACTGACCTTCCATGCTTGAGTTCTTCTCCTTCTTCTCCTACTGTCCCATACGTGACCTAGGTCCCTGCTCGATCCTATCCGAGTCGCGACCCTCAGCAGGGCGCCCCAATGACGCGTATGCAACAAAGTCACCGCAGACTATCAGCAGCAGCGCTGCCGCCGTTCGTCCGAGTGATCCAGGTTACCCATGAGACAAACGGTCATGTCTGTCTTGAGGAGCTCCTGATCCCCTCTAGGAACAACCTTCAACTGCTAGACGATCACTGCGAGTGACCGTCGGACAGCCTGACTGGTCGCCGCTGCATCCCCTTGGTCTGTGTACCTCGTCCCCAGTCAGTACTGACCATTAGCAGGTTCTGTACCGCACCGTACCGGACAGCCCCGAAGCGCTCGATGTCTTCATTTGTAAAGTGGGTGACCCCTTGTGACGAGGACCCCTCGAATGACCTTCGAAATGGGGGACCCCTGGGAAGGTGGTCATGCGGACGAGGGGCTATCACGGTTTGTCGAGTCAAGGACGGACTGAACAGGGGTTGTTTATGAGCTAAAATAGGGGGTAGGGGTACCACTAGAAAAAAAAACACCCGAACCTGGCCTCCAGAGTTTGATGATTTTTCATTTTTACTTCTTCAAGTCATGTCATATGGTAGCTAGGACTTTCCTAAGACCGGCATAGTACTTTTTATTGCATGCAATAGGTCAGCTATGGCTTTCTAGGACCTGGTCAAAGGAACGTGTAAAATCAGATATGACCGAGCTACAAAATTGTCACTTGCTAGCACCTCGATATAGCTCCCTATGACATTCCCCAGAAAGGTCTGAATGAGATATCACAATTGACCCACCCACCCCCCAGCCCATTTGTCGGAAAAGTGTTATGAAACCACCCCTTCATTTGCAGATGTTTGGAGGGGTGTTTACCTGCCACTCCGGGTCAGCGGAGCATTTCAGTACCCACCCCTCATCGGATGTAAACTTCTACAATACGATTTAAACGTCGCGCAGTACAATCTCCGAGTTCTTCACCCCCTTGTGATACCCCCACCCTTCGTTATACTAAAAGTACCCTACCCTTTTTACTGTCTCTATCTCCATTCTTGGTACCCTACCTACCAAGTCAATCACCCCGTCTCTGAATCAGAATATGTACCAGCAACTCCAAACATAGGCAGGTCGTAGGCCAGGGTCATAGGAATCTATTTATGGGTTGATGACCTGATGACGGGTAATGGAAAAGATTTTTCTGAAAACCCTGAGTACGGGTGATTTGATAGTCAAAAGGACCGGTAATATTGGCTGAGGGGTGGGGTACAAGCTGTGTCTCATGGGGTAGGGGGTGCTTTGTTCTCGTCAGAGGGAGGTGGGTTTAAAATCTGTAAAATACGTCAAGGCCGAATGGATATGCAGGATATTAGCAGGAAGCGGGAGGAAGGGCAGGAAGCTGGAGGCAGAAGCGGGAAGGAAACGGGGTGGGAATGGAAGTCAACAAGAGGAGAGTAGAGAGATTGGATAGAGGAAAGGAGCAGGATAATTCTTGATGAGGGCTATCAGAGAAACCAGAGAAGAGGGTGGGAAGAGAAGCGCGTTTTTGCTAGTGATCCTGTTGCTGACATACTTCATTCGTGATGTCTGGCTGAATAGTGCAAAAACATGTAAATTAAAGCAGAGAAGAGATGAAAATGAGTTGATGGAACACCCATTGACGTTCTCAGCAAAGTTTTCTTTCATGGAGAGTAGAGAGTTGTACAGCGTCCCCGATAGTCAAGTATCCCAGATATTTTTGCAGAGACTGGTCAAGTGTAGATTAGACTTCAGTGTCGTCACTAAACTGACAAGCATGCTTTTACAGGGCTCTACATGCCTTTACCTACACCTGGGGTTGAAGACAATGCAATCCAATATGATCAATAAGTATATCAAGGATTCTAGCTATTCTGTGGACGAGGAAAGAATCGGATCTTCAGGGAAGTACAGCAGAGTTTCGGGCAAAGGGAAATACTCCAAGTATGCTCCTGGCCTGAACTCTTTGTCTGACGCCGAGACCCAAGGCCAGGAGTCTGACTCGATCACGTCCCACGAGTCGAAGTCAAATATCCAACGGATGGACCTGTCAACGTTCGAAAGAATGATGTCTGCAACAGACATGATGCAGAGTTGGACTAGCTCTCATTCTTGCCCTGCCACCCCTGACCACGAAACCGTCCCAGTTCGCCCGGTACAACGTGCAAATAGTTTGATAGTGATATCGAAGACGACTCACAACTCTGGCCACGTCTCGGAGGTGGGAAAACTGCAAATTTTCTCTCAGGTAGTCTTGTATCCTCTTGTTTTTCCTTGATGTGATGTTGATTTTGTGTTCCCTAGCGACGAGCTTCGATGCGGAATGTGCTGCAGGGTTATCAGACATCTTCGCTGATCAGCTCCGAGTCAGAGTCGATGAGAACCATTGGATCGAGCAGCAGCGAAGGAGGACCCCTTCAGCGTGCGAAGATCGACCTCGACTTGGCTGCTGCGCATCCTGAGCGCAAGGGAGGCTGGACGAGCGATGAAGACAAGATCACAATCGAGGCACAGGCCAAGAGTAACCGATCGCACGTCGATGATTCAGCCTCAGAGTCGTCCAGACAAGCTCGTGGGATCAAAGAGAGAAAAGAGCAGGAGAGTGTGGTCAAGAGAGCAACCTTCTCAGAAAGCAACCTATCGGAGCTCCGAAAGGCTCGTAAGGCTTCCTTGCAAGTGATCTCGCGGGAGCGGGAGGACGTCAAGAACAACCATCAAGACATGATGAGGAGGAGGAGCGAGATGGACATCTCGGATCGTTCGCGGGGACTAAGTGCCGCCAATGTTGGTGGGCAGGAGAGCAACGTAAATCCGTCAGAAAGGTCTCCCTTCCCGGATGAGATTGATATTGTTATGGGGACCTCACGTGTGGCGAGGAAACCCAAGGACGGCAGGCAGCAGGAACGAGGGGAGAGGAGAGAGGCGAATGGAGAGCGGAGGTTATCGGAAGGTGCCAAGATGCAGGCCCAGCAATGGTGGAGGGCAAGGGTCAAGTCGATTGCGAAGATGGATGATGACGACGAAGATTTGTAAGAGGAGAAGTGGGGAATGAGGAGGATGGAGGATGTTTGGAAGTGTTGAACATAGACTTGAAGATTGTTTCTACTGCATTCTATGAACAAAAGGTGTTAGCCAAACATGTTTGCTCCCACTCCACATGTTTCTTACACCAAATTTTGCAAATGCTCAGTATCGCTCGAAGCAAACATTTTTTCGAGTTTCCGGAGTTTGACGCATTCGACAGCCATAACATCATACATCCCCTATCTATCTCTAAACCACTTGCTCCATAAAGAAGAAAACCTTCGTTACAGGATTTTGAAGATCTATATGGTCAAGATGCAGAGAAGACAACTTTACTAGACAGCAGGTGGCTCCCACGTAGACTCTCCTGTGTTAGCGTTGTAGTAGTACACCTTGCCCGTCTCCTGATCCACTGCTGACTTCCATCCCTCCGGCAGATTCTCCTCCTCGCTCGGCTTAGTCATCACAGGCGGGGGGCCCGCGGACTGGAGCACGCGGAGGACAAACTCTTGCTTGGGAGGCTCTTGCTGCTGCTGCTCCCATAGCACCTCAAACCTGCCAGATCCTTCGTGAATACTCCGCTTCCTCTTCCTCTTCCTCTTCCTCTTCCTCTTCCGCTTCCGCTTCATCCTCGTTGTCTTTGCCTCCTTGCTCTTTCTCGTCCTCTTCTCTTTCCTGTTCCTCTTCCAATTCCTCGTCCTCTCCCCGCCCTCCCCCGTCCTCCTCCTCATGCCCCGCCAATCGCTCACCTGCCCCCATTGACGGCTCGGAGGATCTGCCATGGCCCGGGATACTCGCGGTACCTGCCAAGGAGGAAGCGAGTCACCAGCATCGCACTCCTGCGCATTTTAGCTTACAGAGCTCCTACCGGCGGCCCACGGAAGACTCTCAGGTAGTAAGCTGCCCAGAAAGGTGAGGGGGAGAGAGGAAGGAGGAGCGGGAAGGGGAAGAATGGAGATGGGAGGGGAAGGAAGGAGAGGAGTGAGGGGAGCAGAAGGAAGGAGAGGGGAGGGAACAACTGCGAGGACAAGTAGACAGGTAGCGAGGAAGGAGGAGGGGAGGAGGAAGGGAGGAGGAGTGTTCACCAGTCTCAACCATCGGCATGAATCGCCTCCTCACTTGAGCAAGCTTGGGAAAAAAGAAGTCAGGGTAGTATCCCCCGATTCCTCCACTGCGCATCTTGAAGAGGTCGCCGTTGAAGATGATCATTGCAGCGTCTTTGGGGGCAACTTCACTCATGTACAGCTCGTCCATCTGGATGTACTCGCGCACGTCGAACACAGGATGCATCACAAGGTACTTGTTCACTCGATCCTCTTGCTGCTTCGGTTTGCTGAGGCTGGAGAGAGAGAACGGGACCTGACTGCCATACTCCTCGAACGCGATGCGAGCTTCGGATGGGTCTGGACGATCATCGTCAGTCTCCTCCGTCCTCTCCAACGATGATCAACCTGGGAACACCATGCACAGCTCACTTGGCTGCAAGAACATACGGACAAGCTCTCTGGCGTAGAGAGTATTCGCTTGATAGATCTGATTCAAAGCCGCATCCTTGAACCTATCCGTCGTTGGGACCTCGAGCTCGAGAACTTTCTTCCCATCTCTGATGGCGGCTTGCAGACATCTTTGCACTGTGTCAAGGCCGGATCCTGATGAGAACGCAAACTCCAGCTCCTTCATCTCTCCTACTGCCATGCTCCACCTGCCTGGAGACCCCCGCCCTGAAATCCGCATTCTACAATCCGAGGCGAGGTTAGGTGACAAGGGAAACTGGCGAAGAGAAGAGGAGGGTACGAGTGGAGAGAACGAGGAAGAGGTTGATGTTAGAGTGGACGGAGGAGGAGGAAGGAGGAAGGAGGAAGCGGTCGATATCAGCGCCGCCATCGCTGTCGCTACGAGCATCGTGTGCATAGCGGCAAAATGGCGACACAAAACCGGACACAAAAGGTGAACTGGGATGAGCGGGGATGGGGGCTAGCAGTGATCTGATCGTTTGACTGACGCCGGCATTATTAGAGTTAGCGTCAAGAGGAGCAGGAGGGGCAAGAGGAGAGGGAACATGGGCAGGAACATGGGCAAGGGCAAGAGCAGGAGCAGGGGCAGGAGCAGGGGCAGGTGAAGGTGAAGGTGCAGGTGCAAGAGAAGGAGCAGGAGCAGGAGCAGGAGCAGGAGCAGGAGCAGGGACATGAGCAGGAAACATGAGTAAGAGAAGAAGAAGGAGCAGAATCAGGTAAAGGTGCAGGATCAAATGTAGGAGCAGGACTCCGCAGGAACAGGAGGATCAGGATAAGGATCAGGTACAGTGTCAGGGGCAGGAGCATCAGTAGCAGGGGCAGGAGCAGCAGCTGGAGCAGAGGCAAGGGGATCAGTCAGGATCAGGATCAGGATCAGGATCAGGATCAGGATCAGGATCAGGATCAGGATCAGGATCAGAAGGAGCAGCAGCAGCAGCAGCAACAGATGCAGCAGGGGCAGGAGCAGGGGCAGGAGCGATGATGATGACAGATTTGTACTTGACCAGAGTTGAGAACTCTCACCGTGACTTTGATCATTCGATGGTCCCTATCGTATCATATGAGATCATCTGTGATTTTCTTCTTTCGATGGAGCTTAGATAATCTCGTATGGTATGATAGGGAAGGAAAGGGATCGACGTGTTCATGTTCATTTTTGCGCTGACATAGGACTGTAGGGGTTGAGAAGGCCAAAGGAGTGCAGCCCTTCGACCCCTGCTGGCTTCAGCTTGTCTTCATGCGGAGCAGTTTGCTGAAAGCTCTTCTTCTCCTGTCCCTCCGTGCCTCGTACACAGCAGCAGTCATCGTAAGGAGGTACGAGTATGAGCTCAAGGACGAAACCAGGAACATCAACTACCCAGAGGGCACGGTGGAACATCACTGCATCCTCTTTGCGGACGATAACTCTCCAATCAGCGTCGTTGGGACATACGGAAGGTCAGTGGCAGGAGGAGGGCGGGAGGCAGCTCTAGCTACGGATGTGCTGTTCAAAGGTAACTTGTTGCAGGTTCGGATACTTCGAGGGTACGTTCCAGGCGAACACCAGGAACGCCATGGTGAACTGGTACGAGACTGCCACTAGCGAGGACTGGGAGCTCGTGACGTCGAGCGGGGGTGCCTGGCTGATCTATGCATCGAACTACTCCAGCGTTGAGGGAGGATGCAATACAGCCGGGATGTACGACTCACTGGATTCGTACGTGGAGTGGATCTCAGTGAAAGGAGTCATGAAGAAGACTTCTGAAGACCCCGATTATCGTCCTGATTTCCTCAGCAACTGCCTCCTGGTCCTGCCTGACAGGAAGACGTGGCAGGATGTGATGGGAACTGAGAAGAAAGACGCGTTCTTCAACCTCGCTCCTACCAGCACCGCCAGGGATTTGCTTCCTGGCTTTGACGGAACCATCTTTGAGGGAGATCAGGCATGCTCCTTGCACTTGATCTCGTCGTCTCACGCTATCCCCTCCCCGTCTCTCTGCTTCGCTACCTTCCTCCCGTTCTGTTCCGCATTCCTCCCTTCCTCGCGCTCTCTTCAGCACACCTTCATGCTACTGCTGATGTCATCGCAGGGCAAAATCTCCTTCTGCAAAGACGTCTACAACCTGCAGTCCTCCTACATCCACATCTTCAGCGAGAAGGATCAGACTGACACTGCTCGGCCTGGCGACAGGGAGACCGGGATCTTCGCGCCCAACTCCATCGCCTTCTCCGGCACGGTCGGCAACGGCGTCATCGGTCAGTGGATGGCCCAGGACGGGCCCAACATGGGCCAGACGGGGCCGTTCGTGTACCTCATCCAACCCCAGCAGGGGAGCGGGCCGCAGATGATAGGGTACTACTGCATCACAAACTCCAAGAAGATCCGGCTCAAGTGCTTCGACATGCTGTACAAGTACAAGGAGAAGGTGACGTGCGGAACATGCCGGACGGGATCAAGCTCTGTCTTACTCTTGATGGTTGTTGCTTGCTGCTGGGCGCGCGGAGTGTTGGCTGGATATTGAGCCTGGGACCATGGTTTGATAGTTGGATGTTCTCGAAGATGTTAACAAGTCTTTATTAAGATCTCACCCCACACGTTGTTCATACTGGTCTCTGTCTCTTCATCTGATTGAGCATGAATCTTGTGTGGGTTCAACAGCCTCCCGTCCTTCCTCTCCCCCCGCCTCTCATAGAACAAGAGCAGGTAGAGATGCTCGAACTTCTACATCAGCGCTCAACGGGCCATCGCGAGAGCAACGACTGCGAGGACGAGCGAGCCCAGCAAGCCCGGCCTGTTGAACCCAGCTCCGCTACAAGTCTCCGCTGCACTGTACGAGTAAAGCTCATTGTAGCAACCAGTCCTCACATTCTTGTCATCCACAGCGCAGTAGAATCCAAGCAGCTGTGCTCCATTTGCGCCTGGTTGTACAAGATACAAGTTTGTGCCGGTTGAGCCCTTGACAGGCCCAGTCTCTGCCTTCCAAGTTCCCACCATCCCATCGCCAGCCGCCGCCTTCAACGCGATCGAATCTGCGCCGTAGGTTCCCGTCTCAACGTCTCCTGCCTTGATGGTGTTGTCGGCTTCCTCCTTGGAGTAGGTGTACTTGTACTTGGCGTTCACGTTGAGATGATTGACGCAGATGTTGTTTTCACCCTGTGCATGTAGTCAGCATCGAGCTCCTGGTCGTGCAAGACGGCAGGACAAACCTGTTCGCTCTTCCAGTAGGTGCTAGCAAGTGCCTGCATCTTCTGCCTTTCATCAAGGGTTCCTCCAGCGCTAAAGTAGTTGGCCGTAGTGCTTGGAAGAAAAGTTCCCATCCTACTTTCCCACGACACGGAAGTGCTGGAGCGTGCCAGGAGGCAGTTCTTGCTGAAGTCTTCAGCTGCTGCAGTGTTGGTGGAGTCAATCTTGAGGGTGCCCGAGTTGGCTGCGAGCGTAACGAACGTCCCATAGGAGCCAGTCAAGGCGCTTCCACCAATCCCTCCTTGGAGGAAATCAAAGGTTTCGTTGTAGACTATCCAACCAGAGCCAACAGTTGGCTTCAACTTGCCATCGGAGGTTGTTGAAGTCTCATACCAGTTGATAAGAGCTTTCTTGTCGTTCAACTTGAAGGATCCCTCAAAGTATCCGTACCTGCCAACGAGAATGGTCATTATGACATCAAACAAAGCAGCGAGCAGAAAGGAAGTAGAGGAGCGAGGAAAGAAGAGATCAGAGCACTTGCATGCATTTTCCATCACATGATCATAATTTTGAGCACAGCATGATCCCTCCAAGGCGCAACATAGACACGAATCTCACATTCCGTAGGTACCCACGACTGAAACTGGGTTGTTGCCGTTGAACAGGATACAGTGATGCTCTATCGATCCTTGAGCGTACTTGGTGTTTGGAGCAGGAGCGGTTCTTGTGAACTCATACCTCTTCACCACATAGTCTGCCCTCGTCTGCACCAGCATCCCCACCATTCCCAGCGCTACTAATCCCAACGCCTTGTGCATTTTGCGATCTGAATTCCCTCTTGGCCCCAGCGTTTTCGTACTACCACCCCTCCTGTCTCCCACGACTACCCCTACCTACACTATCGGAATTTGACTCATGAGCCCCTCAGACTACCCCCCATGTTAACTTCACCTACCCCACCCCTAAGTTACACCCCAAAGTCGCCGGATCGGGGGAACTTTTCAAAACGATGCCTCAGGGATCGCAGGGGTAGGGTAAGACAGAATGTGGACTCATTGAAGGTGGACCTGCAGCAACGATTTCTCGAGTAGATTACTAATTAATTCTGCACTACCAAGGAACCCTTCGCAAAGAAAGTTTGTTTTCTCAACTTTCCCTTGTTGAATCTACATGGGAGGGTGGGGGTACTTATTCCTCAAGTTTGGTTTCCTCAAAAGTTTAAGTCAAGTATTCCATAGTACCCACCCTATCCAGTGACCTCTATAACCCACCCCAAAAGGTGAATATTTAACTGTCAAAGTACCCCCACCCCCTTTTTCTAAGAATAATTGTAGTTGGTGACCGGTTGCAGAAACGCCCTGATACACCCCACCCCTTCAGAATGACTACCCTGTCCTTCTCTCTTTCAAAAAAGTCGTCATCCGGCGGCGGGTACCTGGTCTTGTACATGGACGGGACGATGCTGACTGGCTTCAAGCGAAGAAGAGGAGCCTGCAGGAGAAAGGGAGGAGAAAGGGAGGAGGAGCAGGAGGACAGGAGAAGGAGGAGGAGGGCGGGAGGGAGGAGGGCGTGAGGGACTCGGAGGGCGTGAGGGTTGGAAGAAGGTGCTCGAGTAGGTGGTGGTGAGGAGAGAGGACCGCTATGATGTATCACCTGCAGAGGCTCTCTCCGCCTCCTCTTGTCTCACCGGCTCTTGTAGTGCCTCTACTGCAACCACAAACTTGAGCTCGTCTTTGTGAGACCATGATAGCATGGAAGCATCCTTCAGCTTCAATCATCAACACCACCCCTGTCAAGCATCAAAGCGGATCTGAACTCAGTGTGCCTGCAGTGCTGCTCTGTGACTTGGATTGGCGAGGATGCATCTTGAGCAGCGAAGATTGCTGTCTGTACTGCCATACGGTGACATACTGCACTGACGCGAGCTGAGAGGAAGCGAGTCAAGCTTGACTCTACCGAGGACGAGAAAGCTGGCTCAGCCTCGAGGAAATATCACTGACTTGGCTGTGGCTTAGCAAACGGAGGGCAAAGATGGGGCAGGAAGAAGGAGGAGGAAGAGGAAGAACAGATCGTCTTGTTTCTTCAAGGCATTTTGCATGAAGACCAAGGGCAAACTGATATAGCAATAGAGTTCAACTCAACCTCTGGTAACCCTGCAACTTTAATATTCAGTCTCCATGCTGTTATGTCAGTTCGCTTCTGAACTGACATAACAGCATGGAGACTGAATATTAAAGTTGGACTGACATAACAGCATGGAGACTGAATATTAAAGTTGCAGGGTTACCAGAGGTTGAGTTCAACTCTATTGCTGCAGAACAACATTTATATAGCAACAATCACACAGTGCTTTCTTTGTTGACAGGATTCGAGAAGGGTAACAGTAGAGAAGTAACAAACGAACTTACATTTGAATTGATGGTAATCTGAGCCTCGTAGTTGTGCAGCTGTACCTATACATCTATCAACTCAACTCCTTTGGGGCTGCTTTATCTTCATCTCCATCTTCGTTGTCGTCCTCCTCCTCCTCCTCCTCCTCCTCCTCCTCCTCCTCCTCCTCCTCCTCTTCCTCTTCCTCCTCCTCCTCCTCCTCCTCCTCTTCCTCCTCCTCCTCGTCGGCAGACTCTGGATCTGAACTATCGATAGCTCCTCGTTGTTTCAACAACCTTCTTGTCTCCTCTGACATAGTTGCCCCACGGATCCGAGTGCCAGCACAATTGAGAATCGACTCACTCTGACTGTATACCTTGACAAGATAGAGCAGATCGACTTCTGAAAGCGCAAAGATCATGATTGAAACTTGTGAACTTGCCACGGCAAGAATGCTCTCATCGCGCCCCCAGCTCATGCTTTTCACCTCGATCTTTTCAGTGTGAAACTGTATCGTCTGAACATGCTGACCAGATCGTGTCTTCCATGTCTGTAAGATGGCATCTTGTGATCCTATTACAACCATCTTTCCGTCTGGTCTACAACAGATGCAGTTGATCATCAGCTTTGTATCGATATTGTTGATGCATGTCCCTGAATCGACGTTCCATACTCCGATCTCTCCCAACTCGGAGCTCGAGATCAGTATCTTGCCTGCTGACCCCCAGCTCAAGTACTCGGAAGGCCATTCACCTCTCAGCTCGTGCTTGCAGACATTCTGTTCGACGTCCCAAACCTCTATGACGACTTCGTCCCGGAGACAGACGGCCAATGTTCTTCGGTCGGGGCTCCAGCTCAAGCAGCTGACGTGATGAACGAACATCTTCGAAGCTCCTTGTCTCAGACCTGACTTCACATCCCACACTTGCACTATTCCTCCGTTGGATGCTGTCGTGATTTTCTTGCCGTCTATACTCCAACAAGCCAACGCATCATAGGAAAGTCCGTTGTCATGAAGATGTAAACTTCTCTCGTTTTCAACATCCCAAACCTCGAGTTTTGTTTCGTCTGAAGCAAAGGCAAGCTTTGTTCCACAAGGTGCCCAACTCAAGCACGACACGTCTGATGTTATGTGTAGCAAAGTTCGCAAGCAAAGCTTGGACTGTGCGTTCCATATTCTTATCGTTGTGTCTCCATGTGCCGAGGCAAACACCTCACTGTCCACCTTCCAGCTCAAGCTGAGAATTTGAGGCAGGTCAGGCTCGTGTAAACTGCACTCAATGCCTTGAGGTCCAACTTCCCAAAGCCGAAGGGCCTCGTCATCCCACCCTGACGCGATGTGCCTCCCATCAGGACTCCAGCTGAGACAGACTCCTCGCGCGTCGCTCACTGCCTGGACGTGCCCGTGTCCTTCTCTTGACATCTCCCACACTCGAAGGGTCATGTCGTGTGCTGTCGATGCCAAGCTCGTCCCGTCGGAGCTCCACCTCAACATCAACACTTCCTCCGTATGGCCCTCAAACACGTTTGGGGTTGACGTCGATTCTCCCACGTTCCAAACTTGAATCAAACCCTTGTTATCACCAGCAGCAAGCAAGCATCCATTGGGATGCCAACTCAAACACGTGATAAAGTTTTCAACGATGCCACGAAGCTTTTCCTTACACTCTCCAGTCTTCACATCCCACAGGCTGACAACTCCATTCTGTGATCCAGCTGCCACTAACTTCTTGCCAGGATCTTGTTTAAAGCAAGTTGCGACTCTAATTCTTGTTTCCAGCGCTTGAGCTTCACCAGAGTCAACGTCCCAAAGTCGAACGTCACCTTGCAGATACCCACACGCAAGTTTCTTCCCGTCTGGCCCCCAGCTCATGCATTGCACTGCGTCCCTGCGCCCCTCTAGCGACCGCACGCACCTCCCAGTCTCCACGTCCCACACCTGGATCAACCCGTCCTCCCATCCCGTCGCCAGAGCCTTCCCGTCAGGCCTCCAGCGCAAGACCGAGAGAAGAACCTCGCGGGTATGGAAGGAGTGAAGACACGAGGCTTGTCGCAGGTCCCAGATCTCGATGGAGCTACTGTCAGTCCTGCATGCAAGTCTGTTGCCGTCAGGATCGAAGGCAAGAAAGGAAGCAGATGAAATTGTTTCCATACTGCGGAATATCGTGTTGTTCTCTACATCCCAGATCCTCTTGGTGTTATCTTTTGATTCAGAGATAATCCATTTCCCAGCTCTCGATACTTCTAGGTAAGCTATCTCATCCTTGTGACCCTCTAGAAGGTGCAGACATTCTTCTGAATCCACTCTCCACACTTGTATCATACCGTTGAGTGATCCTGAGACAAGAACATCTCCCTCTAGCTCGTCAAATCGTAGGAATGTCACTTCCTCTGCGGTTTTCTGAAGTATCTTCAGACAATTTCCGCTCTCAATGTCCCATATTCGGATAGTACAGTCGTCAGATGCCGAGGCAAGCATCTTGCTCTCTGCTCGAAACGTAAAGTATGTGATCTCTGCTGTATGCCCTTCCAGTACTCGAACAGTTCGTTTTGTTTCCAGGTCCAACAAGCTTATGTTCTTGTCCATCCCTACACAACTAGCAATCATGGTAAAGTCTGAGCCGAGCAAGAACACTCTCGCCACCTCATGCACCTCGTTATGCAGATGCAGCTCTGTGCAGGCTTGTAAATCCCACAAATCAATGATGGAAGCGTCTTCAAATACATGAGAAACTCTCTTGCCATCTGGACTCCACATCACTTGAGGAGTTTGTTTGATTTCTTTTGTTAAAGTGCGTTGGAGCTCGTCTCTTTTTGTATTCCAAAATTCAAAGATATGTTCATCAGTACACATGAAGACGATTTTACCGTCTGCGCTCCAGTCGATGCTCGAAACAATATCAGTGCTCGTTCTATCAAACCATTTCTTGCGTTCTCCCGATCTCGAATTCCATATCGACATCTCCCCTTGCGAAAGTGATAAAAGCGTCTGCCCGTCCGGATTCCATGTGGTCGAAGACTGTCCTTTCATGGACTGCTGGAGCTCGTCGTCTTCTGTATTCCATATCTGAATGGTGCCATCGTTGCATCCAGCTGCAAGAGTTTTCCCGTCGCTTGCAAACTCAAGACATTTAACTGTTGTGATAGGACCATGGGAGTGTTTAAAACTTCTGCCCTCGCTCAAATTCCAAACCCTTACGGGACTATCAATCGAGACTGACACAAGTGTCTTCCCGTCTGGCCCCCAGCTCATGCATTCCACCTCTTCTCTGTGCCCCTCTAGCGACCGCACGCACCTCCCAGTCTCCACGTCCCACACCTGGATCAACCCGTCCTCCCATCCCGTCGCCAGAGCCTTCCCGTCAGGCCTCCAGCGCAAGACCGAGAGATGATCGTCGCGGGTATGGAAGGAGTGAAGGCACGAGGCTTGTCGCAGGTCCCAGATCTCGATGGAGCTACTGTCAGTCCTGCATGCAAGTCTGTTGCCGTCAGGATCGAAGAAGACAATTTCTATGTCCTCCATGGCCCCGCGGATTTTCAGCATCAGCTGTCCTGACTCAACTTCTCCAATATGTACCATCCCATTAGAGTAGAATGCGAGAAACCTTCCATCGGGACTGAACCAGAAGTTGGTACCCTCCTGCTGAAAGCTATCATTTTTCTCTATGCATACTCCCGTTTCCAAGTTCCACGTCTGTATGAGCCCACTGAAAGACGCAGTATGCAGAATGTTGTCATTGTTTTCACAGTAACTGCATGATATCTCATTATCTAGTACTAATTTGTGATGAAGCACACCAGATTTTGCATTAAAAACGCAAACAGAACCTGAATACAAACTGACAACGAGATATTTGACATCATTTGTGATAGTTATGTCTAAAATGCTGTCTTTGAGGTCTTTAGAAAGAAGCTCCGGGTCAAAGATTCTGTGTGTAAACAAACAAGTCTCATTCTTGATGTTCCACAATTGAACGCTGCGATCTGATGCAACACAAAGAGTTTCTCCATCCTGTCCATGCACCAATTTTTGTATGCTTTCTCCCAAATTGTTTCCGAGCATATGCAAACTCTGCTTTCCTCCTTCTTCAAATGCCAATTTCCATATCTCTCCTCCGGATGATCCATAGCAAACATGTTTGCCATCTGGGGAGTAGCTTATACAATTGAATTCAACATCTGCCTCGTCAAGGAAGCACGGGTACTCGCTTAAGATCAGTCCGTCCATGTTCGTTTCCTCTAGATCAGTCTCCAAGAAACACGCATAGCTAGCATCGACCCGTGACAGGTTGGCTCCCTTGAAGTTGGTTTGATGAAAAATGCCATTCCGTAATACAGCACCACAGATTTTAACTGCAGACAAATCTAATCCTGAAAATGAGACTCCTGCGGTCGTCAGGATAGTGGCTGCGTTCGCTGCTGCTATTACTGTCGCACAGTCTTCGGACTCTGCGTTGCGGGAAGCACGAATGATATCAAACAGTTTATCTTTGTACTCGTCTGAACTCTGGACAATCACCGCATGAAAATTGATCGTCTCCAAATCGTTGTTCAGCAAACGAATGCTCAGTCCTTCAATTTGCGACTGAGTACTGGCATCGTAGGACTTCACTCGTTCAAATGTGTCTTTGGCAAGGAAAAAGCTTCTGAAATTTTCGTGAACAAACTCAATACTTATGACCTCAGAAAGCTGTTTGCATGCAACGTGTTTTTGTATCAGATACTCTGAAAGCAGCCTGTATCCTGCTTGCTCCTGTGCAGCAAGTGCAGGTGACATCAGAAAAGGCTCATTCTGTAACAGTAGCTGAGAAGTTTGACATTCAAGTCGGCTTTTGCCCTGGCGAAGCATTTCCAAGGAAATCGCTTGAACAGCCTGAAAAAATTTGTGCTGGTAATTTGCTTCCTTGACAAAAATTTTTTCCATGACCAAATCTGTCTTTTGCAGCTTAAACCATTCACGACAAAAACAATTTTCAGCATGTTCAATGTACAGATCGAATGTTGTAAGTTTAGAAGCTTCAGAAGAGTCGTTCATCTTCGAACACAATCGAGGGAGGGTAGAAATTACCAGTTTCAAAGCCAAAGGCGTAATGGCAAGCTTCTGCAATTCTGGTTTAGAATCCAAAGCATTCCGATATTTTTCCTTGTCCCAGTGATTCTTCATCGATGAGCGATCTTGTTTTAGAAAACTTTCAACAAAGTATCTAGCCTGATTCAGACTGAGGGGACAAATCCAAAATTCAAGCAGAGACTTCTTCCCTGTGTCATCTGGATAGAAAAGAGTAGAGGACTTGCCTCCGCTCTTGAGAAAGTTGCTTCTGCAAGTAATGATCACCTTGCTTTCAATACTGCCTCGCAGTTCTTCAACGAACTTCTTCACGACATTCACTTCCTCTCCGAGCTCGTCGTAACCATCCAATACCAACATGAACTTGTTGAATTCGACAAATCTCCTCCATTCATCCTCACAGAGCTGCTCCTCCAGTCGCTCGTTTACATAATCTCTCACTCGTTTGCCGCTTGAGAGGATCAGGAAGATTGGTACAGGACACCCTACAGTCCATTGCCCCCAAAGTTGATGGGTCCACTTCTTTACTGTCGTAGACTTCCCGCTTCCTGCAGCTCCTTGAAGGAGCAGGACTTTATGGTTGCTTTCTGTGAATTGAACGAGAAGATCAGCTGAAGTGATCGCTTTGCTCTTGACATCGTCTGGATCGGTTGCTGTACAGTTGATCTCCACGTATCCTTCGAGGATGCCCTCGATGTAATCATCCATCAAAGAAATCTTTGGTTTGAACAGCAAAGCTTTGACCAATCTTGCTGCGATGGATAGCGTTTCCCATCGTTCTAGTGGTATTGTGCCGGATTTGTGATCCAACTTCTCAGCAAATTTGAAACTGACGCTATGGCACCAGGCATTGATAATCATGTTCGCTCCGTGGGGAGCAATCGGCGGACTCTGGTCGCAAACTGGGTGCACAGAGGCTTGAAAATCTTTCTTGAACATTGGATCTTTAGCATTGTTGTAATCTTCGATCAGAAACTCGAAGGAGTTCGGATCTTGCGTATTCAATTTGCTATCTTTTTCTTCTCCATGTACCGCAGTATTGACGTGAATGGCTTGATCATGCTCTGCTGCAAAGAGCAGTATCTCTTTGACATCTGCATCCACCACTGGACCACTGCTCTCCCAAAGGATTTGCCTGTCATTCAAATGTACTGCAGAGAATAAACCTTGCGAGCCTTTCAGCACATAACGATCTCCTGAGGTCTTGGTCAAACCGAGCTTGTCAGCATCCTTTTCTAGGTTGTAAACGTTTCCAGTGCTCAAACAAGCACTGTTGACCAGGCGGTATTTGGGCTCGTTTTTTTGATGCTTGGATGGACCGAGCTTCTCATCATGAGGACGCTTCATTCCCTTAAAAGTTCGAATGACAGGGTGCAAAGAGAACAGAAGTCAACTTGATGCGCAGCACTGTTAAAAGCTAATCCAACAGCCTTCAGCGAAGCAAGAGAGTACGAGAGGGAGAAGAAGAGAGGAGGAGGAGGCAGAGGAGGCAGAGGAGGCAGAGGAGGAGGAGATAGCGGAGCCTTCAAGTTGAAGGTGGGCGGCGGGATAGCAGGTGGAACAGGTGGGAAGCTAAAACGGGGAATAGAGGCCGACCTACATCGGGAGGTGTGCTGAGAAGAGAAGAGGAGGGGATCGCACTTTGCGATTAGGTCGTCACTTATGAAATACGATAGCCTGAGGGCTGGGTCGGACCGTGTCTCCCAGCAATAGCTCACAAAGTCAGTGGGTACCGGTCATTTTATGTGACAATAGGACCCTACGTCACGGAGCTTCGCATCCCCGCAATGCCGGGCGGCAGGCAAACACCTGCGCGTGTTTCAACCAGCCGATGCTGATGACCCGCCAAGTCACGTTCATGCTCTGTTCGGAGACTATCCGAAGTTCACCCGAAGGCTAGCTGATCGTTGCTCTATTCAGAGACGATCTTCGCCCGAAGGCTAGCTGTTCTTTGCTCTATTCAGAGACGATCTTCTCCCAAAGGCTAGCTGTTCTTGGTCTGTTCCCTGTCTGCCGCAGACTTAGAGGTTGTGGGCCTCAGTGACAGTCTACGATCCGATCTGTCCACATGATGGTGGCACACCCCGAGGCTTTACAGGATTGACCTTCAGCAGAGCTCAACAAGAACTTGCGCTAGAATTTCTCTACTAAGAGCAAAGCAGTGTGACAGCAGAAAGATTGTTGTATACACAACCTTGCGTAAGACGTTGAGCTCAGATGATCTTAGGATCACTGTTTATTAAGCACACACTCTCATCAGATCAGCAGCACCACTGCAGGAATCTGCATCGTCATCCTATTTCCCTACGCTACGTCCAAGGGGCGTCCGGTATGAGTCCAGAATACAACAAAGATCAATCTCTCTTTATTCTCACACAACAAACAAAACAAACCCACGCAAACTGGTGTGGCACAAACAGACGTGGCTCACACGCGTAAGGGTAAGAAGACCCTGGTTCTGACGAGAATGATCTTGTTACTCTTCGAAGGAGGAGACAGGAGTACCCGTGTCTTGGCTGAAGCAAGCAGGGGTGTTCTCTCCTTGGAAGTTGATAAGCTCTCCTCCTTCGATGTTGAACATCTCGTCAGCCCTTCGAGAGGAAACCTTTTGGTCTCCTGCAGGGAAGAGAACCCCGTCCTCGCATGCCAGCAGGCTACTTCCAACTGGTTGTACAACACAAGACTCACCCGTCCTCTCAGTCCGCTTGTAAGCCACCACGGGAACACGGTTCCTGCAACAAAGACCTCTAGAGGGGTCCTTGTCAGCAGATTCACACTGGGGTAGAGTGTCCTGAGGTATCCAGGAGAAGTCAGTTTCAAACACGAGTACGCGACAGCCAACTGTCCTTTCTTTCCAGTAAACCCGGGCTCGGTACCTATGAGCTCTGACAGATGGCAGATCGCAGTCAAGACAAGTCATTACGACAGGCAGGGTCCCTCACTCAGTTGGTCTGGCTTAACTTCTCTCAGTACAAGTTGACATTTCATTCAGACCATCGTGTTCTTTCCTCTCACGACACGGGAGGCTCCTTGAGTCTATCAGTCTTGAATCTTCCAGCTTCCTAGCATTCCTCGTAACAAAACACAGGGGATGAAACGTCTAACAGAACCGAGTGAGACAAGGTCTTGAGCTGATTGAGCAGAAGGAAGTTCCTTCTTTACATCCCCAGTGGCCGATCCCAAACTCGACTCGCCATGTTTGCGCTACTTCATGCAAAGTCAGTGTATTGGCAAGCTGTTGAGAACAACTTTCCTGGCCTCACCTTGTATGCTTGCCTGGCTACTCTGCTAAGCTCCTCGGCAAGATCGGAAATCCGGGCTCTCAAGTACTCGAAAGTAACGTCCTTAGCGAACCTTCTAGAACATGACTTCTCCTCCGTCGTGGACCGTGCTCACTCGAAGCCGTCTCAGATCCCTTCAAGCTGACTAGGATCCGATTTCTCTCCCAAGCAAAGGAAAGCTGAGGTAGCCTTCGGGCGAACAAGTTCGAATCGCCTCGACAATCGTCGCAGACAAGCCTCGCCGCGGCAAACTTGACGAGAGTCACACCCGAGTCAACTTAACCCTCATCCCGGTCGGACCCTCATCAGCGGCAGCCTAGTCTGAGAGCTCGACGCCGGTGGTCGCAGTGGTTGAGGCCCCGGGCCCTGATCGGAGCCTCGGAGCCTAAGCTTGGGCCTCGCCCGACTGAGGTCCGTGCCCGAGGGCCAGTCACATCGGAAGTTGAACTTACCAGTCGCGGATCCGAATCCACACTCGGCGTCATACGGCACGTAGGATAGGAATCGTCAGCGCTGGACTCGGCATGAAGAACAGACTCGGAGGCGCTGTATTTGAACTTTGAGTGGAGTGGCTGCCGGGCCCTCGACAGTCCGACGGTCACCGTCCGACCGTCAGTCATCCGAGTCGACGGTCGGGCCGGCCCGGACTGGCTGAAACTTTCAGGTTTTACAGGTCGAATAGACCCTAACTTTGAAACTTCGATCACCACCCCTACCCTCAATGAAATAGTAAATATCAGCCACCGGTACCATGAAAATTGAAAATACTTGAGAGCCAGTCGAATCGCTTCCTTTCTTGAATCGCGCAAGTTGAGGTGGGTGCTAGAAGGTTAATTGGGGGGTACTGGTCCGGTTGGATACAAGATACTAGATGGAAACAGGGGTGGGGCTCGAGGGGTTCGTGACAGCCATTCCCCCCTCTCCGGAGTGGCCTCCGTGAGCAAGAGTGAACCGGTGCGAGGACCAAGGGGTGGGGGTAGTCGGTGAGGAAGTATGGGGTGGTGGGATCACACGAGGAATCGGGATGCGAAGAAGGTGAATCGCTGACGAGAAGGGGTGTGGTAGTCATACGGAAATGAGGAGGTAGGGGTACGTACTGTACCCGTTCCAGGCAGACCAAGGGATACTAGGGATCCTGGTCACGGAGCTCGTTTGGATATGTCAGCAACTTCTTTGGAAATGTATGCTTCACACAACTTAAAAGTTTATAACTTCTTCATACATTGTCTTATTGGTTGTAAAAGGTTTTGGTCAATCCATAAAGATCTTTTTCAAAATCAAGATTCATCAACCCAAAGGACCCCTTGTAAAAATCCCACCCACCTGTTATTGAAACAATTCTTCACATCAATACACCGGTCATTTACCATATTCTGTACAGCCGGCTGGTGGGGTAGTAGCTCTATACAACATTTTATGTTGTACATGTGTTTTTAAACTTAAGAGTCCGGTCGAAAAAGAAAGTATGGTGGGGTTATGCGACCACCGGTGTCGTTGTTGTTTCCAAGATGAGGGTGGTCTGACTGACTAGGGGTACCATTGTGCGCATATCTCATACCCACCAGTCCATTTAGCAAAATATACCCACCCCTTTTAGATGTGGAATCATTTAGGTTCACCTACCACCCGTCTTGTTTCAATGTATCCGGTGAATCGAGATCAAGATTTTCCCTGGGGTGTACCCTACCCCCTTTATTTCGTCCAATATCACCGTTTTACCCTTTTGGGACCCTACCACTCTGACACCCCACCCCCATCGATAAAGAAGGGACTTGTGTAGTATATTTCCGCACGATGCAGCGCGGAAAGTGTTGGGAAGATGAGATGAGATGAGATGAGTATGATTGGGATCGAACTTTATGTTGTGAAGAGCAAGTATCACTTCGGCAGAATGCAAGGATGTGGGAAATACAGTGACGAAATCTTTGCAGTTGAAGCTAGAGGAGAGGAGGGTTGTGAAGAGACGAAGGAGTCTATGAGAGGGAGATCGACGCCATGAACACCGCTTGTTCGATAAAGCCTAGGAATAGAGCAAGTAGAGGATGATTCCGATAATGGTTTGGGATGATTGGGATTTCAGAAGATGGTGTCAGGGTGATCAGGGTGAGAAACGAGAAGTGAAGGTGTGTAAATATGAAAGGAGGTGCAGTTTTTGCATTTCCAACTTATTTCAAAGCTATCGACTCCAACAACTGGGCTGAAACTGTTTCGTTTGCAGTTGTGTCACAAAATTATGGGCATGATCAGCACCCCAACGCTTGAGATGGAGCTGACGCAGTGGGAGAAGGAGAGGGAGTCATCCATTGTGGAACCAAAGGCCCCTGCTAGACTTGTCAAGTCGCGAAGACTGTCTCCGAAGAATGCAGCCTCCAAGGGGGGAAGCAGCTCCCGTCAGTGGTTCTCGCATTCGTTCGACGAAGGTTGATGATCCTAGTTTAATGGCGGCTTCGACTGAAGGGTTGCAGGTCGCAAGTATGGCGTGAAGAGCGAGGAAGGGAGGCAGTCCCCGAGCACCCTGTCAAGTTTGATGCAGCCGGTGCTGTGGAAGGCGAGCTGGAGGTATGCTCTGTTTTCTGCGGGAAAGAATGTTATTTGACTTGTTGCGTTTTTCGACCATGAAGGCAATTCACTCTGTTCCGATCAATGTCGACCTACAATGTGTGCGCGTGTATAGAAGTGATGAAAGTGAAGTCCTTCCAAGAGGGAGAAAAGATCATCAAGAAGGGGACGATAGGAACAACGATGGTAACTTGATGTGACCGACTTTTGCCTTGTTGTGACTCTGCTCTCAGTACTTCCTCGACTCTGGCAAAGCAGCAGCCATGAACGATGATACTATACTGGAGGAGTTGGAGACAGGATCGTGCTTTGGGGAGATGACATTTCTAGCGACGTGCAGGAGGATAGTGAAAGACAGGGTGTCACGTCTTCATGATGCTTCGGAAGTTCAGAGATCTTGCGATGTCGTGGCCATGGAGACCTGTAGATGCTTCGAGCTCAGTGTCAGCAACTTCCTTGCTGTTGTTGGACACCGGGAAGCACATCGGTGACTAGCAAACCTTTTCTTCTCCTCCCTCTCCTCCCTCTCTTCTCCTCCTTCTCCTCCTCCCTCTCTTCCTCCCTCTCTCCCTCCCTCTCCATGTTCTTCTTCCTCCTCCTGACTTGGCTGCAGGCTCTTGGCGAACTTGGAGCCTGTGGTGGTCGTGAGGAAGGCGAGAATCAGGAAGAGCCTCAGCCCTATGAAGCAGTGCCCGCAGTATCCGGCAATCCAGTTGGAGAAGCTGCCCAAGTCGTCGTCATGGTGCGAAGGGATGGACGAAGGGCTTCCGACAGCGTCTGAGCTGCTCACGGGGAACAGGGAGTACCTTTCATGGAACGAGGACTTCATCCGACGGCTCTCCTCCTCCTCCACGAGCGATGTCTACTTTGAGGGTCACCTTGAGCTTAAGGATGAGATGGAGGAGAAGGGCCTGGACGTCTTCTGCAGGGTCTCGAGTGGGAGGATGAAGATCTTTGCGGGCAGCGACTTCTCTCGGGATATCGGCAGCCTTGTCCTCGAGGACATGGAGGTTAGCATGCAGACAGAGAACCCTTGCCTCCTGCAGCTCATGGCCGCGGAGGATGAATCCGTCGTCTCAGAGGCAGTACAGTTTGTCTGTTTGTCGCCCGAGGAGAGGGATGCATGGATGTGCGCGCTGGTGAAAGGTGCTGAAACTAGATCTCCTGCCTTCCTGTTTTCTCACGTCCCCCCTCCCAGGTGGAGCCCTGCTGTCGAGGAGAGGCCTCTCCCTCCGGAAGATGTCAGTGGACACAACTCCCAAGGGATCCTTGTACCTGGTCCAACAGTCATGGCAGAAGAGCATGATGAGGAGAATGCTGGGTTGCATTGCATTGTTCATCCTCCTTGCTGCTTTCCTTGTCGGCTTTCGAAGAAGAGACCTGCTATGAAAGAAGTTGTGAAAAGTTCGTCATGACTGAGATTTTTTTTGCGCCGGGTTTGTTCAAGCCACCTCCGAGCCGGCTATCTGCAACAGGAGGGATTTTCAGGGGCAGCTATCATATGTTCTTTCAGAGGATCACCGTCAGGGGAATGTACAGAGTTGAGAGGGAGATTTGTATGAGAAAATGTCAATAGACCTACTACCGTCATTCGCTAAGTCCCCGGCGGCATCTCCCACTGATCACTGAGTCATAGCGTCCGGGCCCCGGCGCAGCCGAGCCTGGTGTGAGTTCGGCAACACTGATCTGGAGTCTCAGCGGCTGCCGCCGGGCGTGCCACAGTGACTGCGGCACTTCCGAGGCCCCGACGGCCTGCCGCCCGACGGCCCGCCCGGTCTGGTCCGAGCGAAACGGTTTCGTAACCAAATTAACGGTCATTTTCAATGGCACTAGCAATGTTGAAGAGGCTCGGGGGGTTGGCGCAGGCCGGGCGGGGGGGACGAAGCATCTGGGGAGGAGGAGGAGGAGCAGCAGCAGCAGCAGCATGGGGACGAGGAGGAGGAGGAGGAGCAGCAGCAGCAGCATGGGGACGAGGAGGAGGAGGAGGAGAGGTTGCAGGGATCATGAGGATGTGCAGGCGGGATGGCTACGAGGGATCATCATTTCACGAAGTGACGAGGAGGAGCGTGAGGGAGGTGGTACAGCTGCGGCAGAGGACGGCGTGGGGTTGGACACAGAGGAGGTTTGCAGGGACCACGACAGGTAGGAGGAGGAGGAGAGACCGAGCGAGGAGCTTCACTGAGTAAGACGTGCAGATGTTCCCATGGAAGACCTGCTGAAGAAGGTTGACGTCATTAAGGTCAGGAAGGAGCTCAGCTCGATGGGGGAGCAGAAGATCTCCAGGTTGGACTTCTGCCGGCTGTGCAGCAAGTACGGCTTCCGAGAGCAAGAGTCTATGAGCCTCCTCGAATCCTTCCATCAGTCAGGCATCGTCCTCAACTTCAGCAACACGTCCAACACTGCTCTACGAGAGACTGTGTTTATCAAACCTCAGGACGTCATTGACACCATCTGGGCAACGTTCGACCTCACCGGTGCGATGAAGACGCAGGAGATAGAGAGGAGGGAGCAAGAGCTGCAGACTCTGAGCAAGGAGCTTGAGGCTCTGTCCACAGCCAAGACGCTCATCGACGAGGCAGCGGAGCGGGAGGCGAACAGGAACATCTGGATAGGAGGGTGTATCCCTTTGACTGCGTTCGGGTTGCTCTTCAGGATGACGTACTGGGAGTACTCGTGGGACATTGTTGAGCCGATATCGTTCTTCGTCTCCACCATGGGGCCGATCTGCTTCTTCTATGTGTGGTATGCAGCGAAGAAGGAGGAGTTCTCGCTCGAGGGCTGGAGGCAGCAGATGATCGATAAGTCGAGGGTGAACTTGTACAGGATCAAGTCGTTCGATGTTGATAGATACAACTACATCTTGAAGGCGATAGAAGAGGTGCGTGCTTTCCCTTGCCTCGCCTGTCTGTGAGATGTTGTTGGTTCATAGTGTGTTGTTTGTTACCCCACTCTCTCCTGCTCAGTGCAGACGTTCTAACTTTGCTCACAGTGCAAGGAAGACATCAGGCTCCTGAAGGAAGAGTGAAGTACGGATCATGGTGCTGCTCGGCTCGAATCAGGCAGAGCAGTGGAGTTACTCCTTTCCAACTCGCTGCTCGTTGGCTTGTTCCTCGCAGAAAATCACTGAGAGCGAGCAGCAGACAGTCAGTTAACGGCCAAGTACAAGCAAGGCTGAGAAGATAAAAGATGCGCAATACGTACATTGGGCGATTAGACACAGATGCTCCATGTGGTCTGTTCCAACGTAGTCCTGCAGTTGCTTCTCCAGCTCGAACTCGTCGTCCCCTGGAGCGATGGCGTTCATGATGTTGTACACGTGGATGAACACGTCCTCCCCCAGCTCCTTTTCCAGGAACATGCGCATGGCCTCGATGCGCTGGTGAATGCTGTCCTTCTGTCCTACCCCCGGCAGGTTGAGCGTCTTTCCCCTCCACATGAACTTCTCCCCGAAGTTGATCTCGGGCTCCGAGCTCGAGCTCGAGCACTCAAAGGAGTGGTCTTGACCTAGAGCCGTGTTTTCCTTGTCGGGTTGAGGAGGAGGCAGAGAGGAAGGAGGGGGAGGGGGAGCAGGGACTGGCAGGGGAGCGGGAGCGAGTTTCTTCTCTGCCGCCGCCTACACCCCTGTCACCATCCCCACAATCGTCTCCTCCTCGTTACCTGGGGGTCGTGGGAGGCCTCCCGGACGGACTTGAGAACGTTCTTGACAAGATGCATGTCGATATCTTTCGCTTGCTTGTCTGACTGACGGGCCTTGCCCATGCTCAAGTGAGATCTGCCTTGATGCGCAACGTCAGTAGGACTTTGTTGATCAGTTCTGCTCGTTGGCGTCTTGCTCGGTAGCACGCTCTTGCTATCAGCCTTCTTGTCCTGTCACTTGTATCAGATCTCTTGCAGTGCATGAAGCAAGACACTTGCCGTAGCGGGGGACGACGAAGGCCTGGCATTCTTCCTACTGGAGTAAACAGCGTTGATCGCATCGAAACCATGCAAGGCCGTATGTGCAAACTCGTTCTCAAGGATATCGTGACTAATGTTGGAATAAGCCAGCCTCTTTCGGATCATCGGCAGGTTCAGGAACTGGTTGATGTCCGGCCTTAGCGACGTGTCCTTGTCCAACAGTGCATGGACTGCATCGTGAAGGTCGGGGGAGTAGATGGGAGAGATTGGGTTGAACTTTCCTTTCAAGATCTTCACAACAAGGGCGTTGAAACTGTGAGCATCAAACGCTGGCCGCAACGACGCCATCTCATACAAAACAATCCCAAGAGCCCACATATCACTCTTGTAACCATAACACTTGCCGCTGCAGAGCTCGGGGCTCATATAGTAAGGCGTTCCAACTGCAGTCTTAGCAAGCCCCTGCGTCTCCTCCAGGACTTTTGAGATTCCAAAGTCTCCGAGCTTGATCACGGCGTTTCCCCTCTCGTCGGGACGGTGGAGGAAGACGTTGGCAGACTTGATGTCGCGGTGGAGGATCTTGCGACTAGAAACAACAGCATGTCAGGGTAGTTGCTCCCAGTCTCAATCGTCAGCATTACTCATGGATGTGCTTGAGAGCGCAGGAAAGCTGAACTAGCCACGACCAGATCGTGTCCTCCTTGATCAATTTCGATTCCACTCTTCGCTTCCTTATTAGGCTCGACAAGTCCCCCGTGTTGCAATATTCTGTGATGATGCAGAGGTAATCGTCCATGAGGAAATGCTCCATATGCTTGACAATGTGAGGATGATTGAACATCTCCAGCAACTGCAAAAAGCGCATGTATTATTTCGTGTCGTTTGACCATCATCATCACCATCACCATCATCATCATCATCACCACCACCACCACCACCACCACCACCACCACCATCACCACCATCACCATCATCGCCATCATCGCCATCATTGCCATCATCGCCATCATCACCATCACCACCATCAACTCTTTGTTCTCACCTTCGCTTCTTTTACAAGATCACGGAGGTCCTTATTCTCGACACTCTTAACCATGATTTTCTTCATGACAGCAACTGCACTCTTTGTATCTCTCTTGTGCAGGAGATAAACGCTACCATAACTCCCCTCCCCAATTTTCCTGACGACATGTAATAAGGACAAACCGGGAGACCAGTCAAGGTTTCATTACTTGCCGATCTTGTACTTTGAGTCTTCACGCGGAGAAGCTTGCATTCTGCTATTCCCTTTAGTCTACAACTGAATGAGAAATCTTAGAAAATGTTTTGATCTCATTGGTGTTTTCATGATCGTTTGCACAATTTCAACGATAGTGGCCCATGTTGCCTTCTCGTACCCCAGACTCCCGTTGTGCTATTTTCTCTCTATGAATTCGACTTAACCTTGTGCTGCAATGATGCTTCCTGTTTCAATCTACTATCACTCGTTGTTCTCTTTTGCCTTTCTATTTGCATGCTCGTTTGTTTAGTCTCTTCTCTCCTCGTCTCCCCTCTTTTTACTCCTGCCTGTTCCCTTTCCCCCCTCCCTCCTCCTGCTCCTCCTCCTCCTTCCCATCTTCATCTCCCTTAAATCTTCCTTCCTCTCCATCCTCCTCCTCCTCCTCCTCCTCCTCCTCCTCTCCCTCCTCTCCTTTCTCGTTCTCTGGGCCCCCAAGTGGTCAAACCATGAAGTTTGTGGGAAGGACCACCCCACCCCCTAGAATCCTCTCACACACCCCCATTTTAGAACAGAAAATAACCCCTTCATTGCATATGACCCACCCAATCGTTACAGTAGATAAATGGAGTACCCGTACAATACAAGGGATATGACCCGGTATTTTCTGTTTGAACGACCCGTGGGTAAGATTCAAGGGGGTGGTGCGGAGATGGGGTAGTGGTCAATGAAGCTATGGAGAGGAGACGCATGCAGTTCAACCAGGGAATCGAGGAGCGAGGAGGGAAGGGAGGACATGAGAAGGAGGAGAAAGGGGCAAGGAGCAAGTAACACAGCGAGATGTTTAGGACTGTTGCATGCTTCAATCTCTTTTGAAGTGAAGAAATCGAGCATTGATGGTTGTAAGATGAATCGAAGCTTTCCTTTCAAGATCTTTCCCTGTACGATTTTGGGCTCTGCCACAGCTTGACGGAGCGAAAATTCGTAGTCAAGAAGGATCTTGTTCATATCAGTATGAATGCACTCACATTGCGAACTTATTACTGTGTTTGCTGCGAGGGGCCAGCAGGGGAGGAGATTTGAACTATTGGAAGAGGGTAGTCTCAACCAGGATCGAAGCACAGACATGGTCAAAAGTCTCTTGTGCTGGACGTTTTTCCTCGTTATTGTCAGTGAAAGTTCTCACGCTAGCAGATCTTTGAGGCTCAGTGCCAAACTTCACACGTATGAGAAGGAGATCAAATCGTTGAAGCTGGGTTCAAACCTGCTCCTTGTTGGTGGGGAAGGGAACGTGAAGCAAGACGAGACTGTTCTCCATCTCTGTCAGAAGTTCATAGACGATACTGATGCTGCGTCTGGATTGTTGTTCACAACCAAGGAAGATCTTGCAAGGTTGCTTCAAGCATGTTTGGCGGGGAACGATCCGCAGAGCGATCTTTGGGACCTGCTTGGTGAAAGAGGGGAGGAGCTGATAGCATGGACGTTGATGAATCAGGAGCAAGTGATGAGGTGGCGACCGCATGCACAAGCAAGCCTCGTGTGCGACGACGATGACGATGGGCTGGTCGCGCATGGCAATTTACCAGCTCCTTCCACGAGAGATGGGGCTTGCTCGCGCTTTGTGTGGCTGGAGGACAAGTCGAGGAGGATCATCGAGTGTTCCATCCCCTCACTGCCGAGGAAGAACGCGTCTGACGTCAACCTCGTCCCCGTGGAGAAGTTTGGCAAGTGGAAGGATGTTTTTCCCAGCCACATCCGAGCTCTCAACCGCATGCAGAGCGCTGTGTTCCCAGTGGCGTTCGAGACCAGCAAGAACCTGCTGGTGCTTGCGCCTACAGGAGCAGGGAAGACTAACGTTGCTGTGAGCGTGATCCTCCGTGAGTTGGATCGAGAAGAGAAGATGCGAGGAGACGGGGGGAGGGTCTTGGTAGTCTACATCGCCCCCCTCAAGGCCCTTGCAGCAGAGGTCACCCGCACTCTGACGCGCATGCTCTCTCGGGTGAACGCGAGCGTGGTGGAGGTGACAGGAGACATGGTGACGTCACCTGCCGATGTCTCGCGGGCTAGCGTGATGGTCTGCACGCCGGAGAAGCTGGATGTCATGACTAGGAAGCCACCAAGTTCGCTAGTCCTGATGCAGAGGATCTCGCTGATGATTGTTGACGAGGTCCAGATCCTGAACGAGGACAGAGGGCCTGTGGTAGAAGCGCTGGTTGCTCGCTTCCTGCGGCATGCGGAGATAGCAGGCAGCTACTTGCGCCTGGTGGGACTGTCTGCTACCCTGCCGAACTTCAAGGACGTGGCGAGGTTCCTCCACGTTGAAGAGGATGCTGGCCTCTTCACCTTCGGGCCTGAGACCCGTCCTGTGCCTCTTGCTCAGCACTTTGTCGGGGTAGGAGTAGGAGCAGCAGGAGGTGCAGACGCAGCAGATGCACTACCACCACCATCAGAAGCGGATGCAGCAGCAGTGGAAGCAGGAGGAGGAGGGGGAGGAGGAGGAGCACTGGCAGCTGCGGCAGTGGCAGGAGGAGCAGGAGCAGGTACAAGGGCAGGAGCGAGAGGAGCTGGGAGAGCGATGGGGGGCATCAAGGAGGCGCTGCTCGAAGCGTGCTGGGATCGGGTGATAAGACACATCAGGATGGGACAGCACGTGCTGGTGTTTGTGCACACCAGGAAGGACACGGTGAAGACTGCAGAGTTCTTGCTACTGAGAGCGCAGGAGGAGAGATGCGTGAAGATGATCGCACCAACGGAGGAGAACGGGAGGCTGGGAGCATGGAAGAAGCACCAGCGGTACCTGGGCAACTTGCGGGATCGGAGGCTGCCGTCTATGACCATGAACGGGATCGCTGTGCATCATGCGGGGATGACGAGGCAGGATAGGACGGTGGTGGAACGAGCGTTTGAGGATGGGGCGCTTGCTCTACTGGTGTCCACGTCGACGCTAGCATGGGGGGTGAACCTGCCAGCGCGGGTAGTGATCATCAAGGGAGTGGAGTACTTCGACCCTAACGCAGGGCGGGAGGAAGAGATAACAGCCTTGGAGCTGCAGCAGATGTTTGGGAGGGCAGGGAGGCCGCAGTTTGACGCAGAGGGCGACGCGTACGTGCTATGCAGCCGGAAGAAGCTCCAGCTCATCCTCAGCAGGATGACAGCGCAGGTTCCGATCGAGAGCAGGATGGAGGACGTGATGGAATTGCACATCAACGCTGAGATAGCGGCGGGAAGCATCTCAAACCTGGAGGAGGTGTTGGACTGGATTTCAAAGACCTTCTTCTGTGCGAGGTTGAGAAGTAGTCAGGACGCGTCGAGGGCAAGGAGCGCATCGAAGGAGGAGGCGGAGGGCGTGGTAAACTCGATGCTCCTAAGGCATGCCAACAAGACCCTTGAGAAGCTGTTGTCTTCCGGCCTGATCGTCAGCGTTGCTGACCCTCCCTCGTTCCTACCGACCAAGTATGCACAGGTTGTCAGCCAGCACTACCTGAGCTTGACTTCAGCTCGAGACATCCTTGCTAGAGTCTCTCCCAACTCGACCATGTATGACATCCTGATGCTGGCGGCGGGCAGCGACGAGATGGCGAGCATCAACGTGAGGGCTGAGGAGGAGGAGGAGCTGCGGCAAGTGATGGACAACTTGTGCTACATCGAGATTGGGCGGGGGGAGAAGGAGGAGGAGCAGGAGGGGAGTTAACAGCATCGCACAAGGTTGCAGTAATGATCCAGATGTTCACATTGAGGAGGGAATTTTCTACCCCTTCCATCTCCTCCGATGCGCAGTACGTCTTTCAGAACTGCATCCGCGTCTTTCGCGCAATATCCGACCTGTCGCTGCTGAAAGATTGTGCAAAGACCGCTGAGATAGCCTCCTCCTGGGCCATCGCCGTGGAGCTTCAAGTGCCCATCCTGTACCATCCGCTCTATGGATACGAGCTGAACCGTAACCAGCAGGCAGAGGGCAGGAGCAAGCATGTCAGGATGCAGAGGGCGGCGATGGTGCCGTCAGGGTTGACGGAGGCGCTGGCTGCCTTGCAGCGTCAAGGAGTTGACACAGCAGCTCTCGCTGCCTGCTCCTCCCTGCTGCCACTGAGGAGGATCGTTGGGAACCAGCTGCCAGAAAGGGACCTGATGTACGTCGTGCAACTCGCCCAGTCGTTCCCACGTGTCGAGATTGCAGCCGAAGCTCAAAGTTACGGAGAGAGGTTGTTTAAGATCGTCTTCAACGCATCTCTGTCTTCACGGTCCCCCCAGGAAACGTTCTTGGTCCACCTGCAGGACAGCCAGGGTACGGTCATCTTCTCAGACAGGCTATCCTTCAGCAAGCTGCACAACTCAACCACAGTTCGATGCGTCATCGCAAGAGACCGAGTCTTTCCCCTGCTCATCACTGCTCTTTCTGACCGCTGGCTGCAGTGCAAGACTCAACTTGTCTTGCGCTCGGCAACCTCCTTGTTCAACAACGACAAGCCCGGTGGAGTTCGATCGCGGTGCTCAACGATCGCTGCTGTCCCGCCTCTGCCCACCTCTGTCCTCTCAGCCCGGGAGAGAAAATTTCTCTTTCCCTCGAGCACGAGCGAGAGCATGAATTCCATCATGACCAGTACCTTCTTTCAGCTGCGACATACGTTTGAAGACTTCCTCATGGCAGGAGAGGAATGGCTGAGGGAGACGCTGGAGAGGGTCGCGATGTTTGCGGTCTTCCAGGAGCTGGAGAGCTGGGAACGGGAGGCAGCGAGGATCGACAGAGGCAACGGCGCATGCGGCAGGTCAAAGGTTGTCATCGTCTGCAAGGACCGAGCTGAGGCCTGGAAGTGGTACAGGCAGTGGGGACTGAAGTTCCAGCAGCAGTTCGAGACCGAGGTGTCCTGCTGCGATGTCACCAGCTCGGCAAACTTGCACGTGCTAGGAGCAGAGGGCCTGCTAACCCTCGACGGTCCTCTCCTCCTGTCACAAGCTCGAGTGGTCATCGTCCATGGCCTCCAGCCGGGAGCAACATGCGCAGAGTTGGAGCTGGCAGCGGCAGCTGTCAAGAAGCAGCAGAGTACAGAGGTGGAGAAGAAGAGGACGAGGATGATAACGCTCGTCAGCTCCGTCATCAACAACGTCAATGACATACAGCGCTGGTTGCATGTCCCTCCTCCCTCCTGCTTCCTCCCTTTCCGCCATGGCATCCCCATCGGAGTCACCCTCAAGATCCTCTCCTTCCCACGAGGCTCCTCCCCCGACAGGACCATCCTCAACCTCGTCGGGAGGACCGCAGGCAGACCGTCCCTGGTCGTCTGCAGGACCTTCGGAGAAGCTCGACGGCTCAGCATGCTGGTAGCAAGGAAGGTAGCAGAGCAGGAGGCGGACGAGGACTTATTCAGAGTGGCTGCTGTCTTCCAAGATCAGTCTCTGTCGGCCCTTGCCTCCCATGGCGTCGGCCTACTCGGCAAGCGGATGCTGAGAACAGGAGCAGGAGCGGGATCAGGAGCAGGAGCAGGAGGAGCAGGAGCAGGAGACGGGCGTGTTGTCATGAGCGACGACGAGCTTCTGATCGTGGAGCTTCACAGGGCCAACAAGGTTCGACTCCTCCTAGTCGACGTCGAGTACCTCCTATCCTCCCTCCCCTCCAACCTCCTCCAACTTGAGCATGCGATCGTTGCCTTGCCGCCCTTGTGCAGGATCGACAAGCATGGAGCGGCTGGACGGGGAAGATTCGCTTCCTTTGTTGCCGACTCTCCGTCCTCCATCTACTCCTCGTTGTGCCAGACCCTGGGGAAGTTCAAGTGGACGAGCGGCAACGCTAGGACGGCATCCCTCGTCGTCCATGAGGTCCGTAACCCCTCCCCTGCCTTCTCCTCTCCCTACCCCTGCCTTCTCCTCTCTCTACCCCTGCCTTCTCCTCTCTCTACCCCTGCCTCCTCTTCTACCCCTGCGGCCCCTGCCTTTTCCTCCTCTCCCACCTGCCTTCTCCTCCTCTCCTCCTCTCCTCCTCTCCTCCTCCTCTCCTCCTCTCCTGCCTGCCTGCTTTCTCCTAATCTGCTTCCTGCCCTCTGACCATATCCTTGACGTCTCCTGTACCTCCTTACGAACTCCTGATCAGGGGGATGAAGATGCCTGGGAGGAGATGCTGAAAACCCCTCCTCCCTTCGCCTCTCCCATGCTCCAACGTGTCCATTGCTCGGAAATCACTCTTGCATATCTTTAGACTACTACGCCCTCACCGGGGATGTAACAGGAGGTTGCTGATGCTCTTTCTCAGAAACTTGGGCTTCGGAGGGCAACGGATGACCTCTATCCTGGATTCCATCTTTTACTGGATTTTGATGCTTATGATTCTCCCTTAGCTTGATCCGAAAATCCTTCTTAACATGGAAACGAATGTCTGCCGTTTCCGATACATGATCGGGTTTTGTTTTAAGCTCATCTACTTTGTGCACCCTACTCGTTTCTGCGTTTGCTATTGCTGCAGGAATCCCTTGCCGGCCGGCTTGATGGCTCACTTTGCACGTGAAATGACTTTGCTTATGCTTAATGAGAATTTTTATTGCCCAAGATGATGCGTGATATGGACAAGTTTGTGAAAAGGTGTATTACTTGTCATAAGGCCAAGTCCAAGCTGAAGCCTC